GAACGCCTCTCCCTGGAATCTGGCTGCATTACTCCGCAGTAAAACGGGTTTTAGGAAGAATCCGGTTGAGGCCATCAGAAACGGCAAGCGATTGCCTAGGTTCGTTAAAAATAAAGGAATTCAATTTTTTCCCCCTTTTCCTTCTATTACTGTTGATTAGTAATGGAAGTGTGTCCTCCCACAAAATAAGGCGCAACTATTACTCCGACTAATGATAGAGGTATAGAAATAGACGTCATGTTAAACTTTCTATTACCCATTTAGCAAGTTTCCAAGCAGGAAAAAATTACGTTTTGGTTCTTTCTGGAGCGGAGATGACTCCCGAAGCGAAATGTTAAAGATAGCGGCCAACTGAAATGAAGCGCTGGAAGCTCTACTCGCAGGTCCCACTGAACATAGGCTGTTGTGCAAACTCAGCAGGGTTAACAAACCATGGTTCGCGAACCACAGCCAAAGCAGACATCCGAGAACTTTCATTCTGATTTCCTCAGCCCTAGAAGAGCTCTGAAAACCTGAACAGGCGGGACAGAGGGACATCCGTGTTTCCTCAGAGTTCAGTCTTTCAGCTCCAAGAGGAATCACTTGCGGCCAAAAAGCTTCTCCTGCACCCTCTCGTCTGCTCTCATTTTCTTCTGCCGTCTCAGTTTGCCAGGAGGCGGATCTGTGCGAAAGCGAACATTCTGGATTTGCACCGTTACCGATGTGTTCCAGCTGCTGGTGCCAGGACGCCCCCCGCCTGCCCCCAGTGTACAATTTCTAGTCCCGCAACCTTTAAGGAACTTTATAGAAGCTCCCCAGAGGCCCAGGCAATTAAGAGAAAAGGGAGGGGGCGTTGGGGGTCATTAGTGGGTAATGATAAGACATTTAGCAGGCAGCGCTTGCCAAAGCCCCGGGACCCTTTAGCCCCGGTCACGTGGGACCCTCCTAAGAAAACAAGCGGTTCTCTCTCGGTGGGCAGTTCGCCTTTGTTTCTTTATGGTTGCCAGAGGCGCAGCCGTGTTAATCTGTTGCAGAAAACAACAACAACCAGGAGCCTTGGGGCATGTTCAAGACTGACAAATGGCACACGGTCTTGGGTTGGGTGAAGAGAGTCCACTGCGCCCAGTAACGGAACTGCTGAGCTGAATGGTGGCTCAGCATCCACATAATCCTGGGGGGGGGGGGCACAGGGGGTCTGAAAGGAGAGAGAGCAAAAGAAAATGCAGGCAGCCTTCCTCAGGGGCAGTTCAATTACATACAAAGGCCCTCCAAAAAGCAGCAGCCAGCCAGGATGGCGTTTTCTGGCCTTTTGGTTTCTTCTGGTCTCCCTGATTCCCGGTTCATGCTTTCTAATAAAAACTGAAAAGCTTCTTCCAGGATCCTTCTAATTTGGGGCTACCAGAGGCTATCGCAGCTCTCCTCCTACAATACCCGATCCACATGCAATCCTGGTTTGCAAGACAGTAAGTCCCTCAGCGTGTAGTGGAGCTTCTTCCCAAGGGGGCGTGAAGCTGCCTCTTTGCTTGCCGTCTGATACTTATGCTTATGCGGGCTATTGAAAAGTAACTCTGGCTATGCAGTCCACTCAGGAATAAGCTGCATTGAATTCAAAGGGGCCAGCTCTCAAGTGAGATCTCGATCTTCTCACTGTTCTGAACCTGCCTCCGGGGGACTGCCTTTCCTGCTGAAAGTCAACCGGTCACCCAGTGCATCACCCTGGCCGCTGGCGCCATTCGCGAGTGCCACATTAAATCAGTTGCCTCCACCTCGAAGCAAGTTTTCCTTAACAAGCAAAGCCAGACCAGGTACCAATCCTCTGGCGTGCACGCATTCCGATCTGGTAGCTCATTTTGGTTAGTTAATTCATCTCTGAGCTAAAATGGATTTTGTCCTTTTTGGTTGCAGGTGATGACAGGCCGGGAGAGCCTTTGGGTCTTAGGTACTGTTGGACACAAGCTCCGAAACCTATGCCGGGAGGGATGGGCGTTGAAGGCTGTTTCTTGCCTAATCCTATGGGAATAAAGAGATCCACCCAATTCAGATAGCAAGCAGTGGTTTTCTAGTCCCCCTTAAGTAGAAATCCACTTGGAGTGATTAGGCTGCTGTTTGGGGGCAGCTGCTGAGAGGACAGAGCTCCTGATCAGAACAGACACTGGAAGGAATATACAGATCATAAAAATTCCTAACAGCCTCTAAAAACAGTAACATCTGGGAGCTTAAAAACTTAAGCGACAGAGAATTCCTGGATTTCTGGGAAGGTTTTGCTATCTGCTCTGGTTTTGGATTGTGATCCAGCGTGAAAAGGAGAGATTTCGTTGCTCTCCCTTCCAAGCGTTCGGGGAACAGAGACCCGTGCCTCGAGTGTCACCAGTCTGGCGGCCTGGCCGCCCAATTCCATGGGCCCGGGGGCTCCCCGCGGTGGTCAGGACCCTGCCAGCACCTGCACTGCTGTGGGGCTGGCCCCTTTCCACCGCTCCGGGCCTGCAGGGCGGGCGGCCTCGCACTGGGGAGGAAGCGCGGGAAGGAGCACTACTGGCCCAAATGACTCCTTAAGCTCATGTTCGGGAGGGGCGCTCCGGCTGGAAGGTGCGCCTGGCTACTACATGAAGCGCCTTCACTGGGCGCCCTGGGCAACACTCGTTCTTTGAATCCCCCCCCCCCCCGTTCTCGGGATCTCCAAAATGAAGAAGCCGCGGAACATGTTCAAGATGGGACTTAATTGGGTGACGCATCCTCAGGCAGTGAGTCAATTGAGTGGCCGATGCACGCTTTCCTCTTTCTGTGCATGTTCCGCACAGATGTTTATGTTTTCATTTTATCTTTACTTCTAAGCTGGGTGAAAATGTTTCGGGGTCCCCTGCGCACTTCTTAGACAGCGCTGGGCAGGGGGACCCGGAGGGCGCCTTGGAGGCCCGAGATTCCGAAGGAAAGAGCGCTCCGGCCCCGCGAGCGGTGGCAACTCCGGCGTCGCCCTGGCTCTTGGCGTCTTCCGCGACCAAGCCACAGGATGGAAATCGGTTGCAGGGTGTGGTCAAAAAAGTCAAGATGGCATGGCAGAAAAAAATGACGGAGCTTCGATTGCACCATTGTGCCTGCCACCTTGCCTTTTTTGGCCACATCCTGCGGACGCCTCTAGATGCAACAGGTTGCCCTTTGCTCGCTTATCGCAGCTTTCCCTGCCCGGGCGGCCTCCACCTATCCTTCAATTACATTTCCCATCGTCCCCAGCAGCAGGGGCCTCCGTTTCACGTTCCTCTGAACAGAGGATCCTCATCAGCGCCTGCTTCGGCGGATGCATCTGCGAGGTCAGGAAAGCCGCCTCTCTTCGCCGAGGGCTTTCAACCTGTCAAAAGAGACCTGGGCTCCTAGAGAGCAAGTGAAGTCGCCCTCCAGCGATTAGTGCCCTCCGCTTTCGGTACGCTGCGGGGCAGGAAAGCTCTGGAGTGTGGCGGTGGCGGCAGCAACTGGAAGAGCGAAAGGCCGCACCTGGCCTTTCACACCCTTTCTGCCCAGTGGGGCTGCGGGTGGGGAGACAGCTAAGTTTGGCTAGGTCCACGGTGGTTTAGTTCGTTGTGCGAGCCTATTTCATGCGTTAGTGTGTGGGTAAAAACATTGTGCGGAGCCAGAGAATGGGTTAACTTACCATCAGGTTAAGTGAGTTGTATGAACCCAGCCTACCTGTAAACACGGGACAGATCAAAAAGAGAGAGAAATCCAATGTCTTAAGGCTTGGAGATTCCACTTCTGTGTCTGTGGCACAGTTTGCAGAAACGAAGTGAGCGCTGGTTCCGAGGGCGGCTCTTTAGCAGCGTCAGTTGCTAGATGCAAGTAGGAGGGGTGTTTTTAAAAACGTCAGATCCAGAGGTGAAGTTCACATGTAGACCAAATGCACACGTCCCTACTGTGCATCTGTGAGGACCTATGATCTGAGCCCTACGCTTCTGTCACTCCCTCTTTGGGATGATGGACATTGTAGTGCGACAGGATTGGAGGACGCGAGATTTAGGGAGACGGGAGGAGGGCTGATCTTAAAGCTATTCCCCATCAGGCAAGGAAACTTCCAGCTGCTTTTCCTTCTCCCCCGGGAGTGCTGGCTCCAGAGCTCAGTTTTCGCCCACCCAAATCAGTGAGTCGGAGGAGGGGCCACAGCTCCATGGCATCTCCCCCCCTCCATCCAGGTCCTTAGGTCCCCCCTTCCCCAGGCTTGTGCACCTATGTCAACACAGCCCTACCTGCCCCAGGGAAGGGTGGGCTCGGGCCAGGCACCAGCTGCAGAAGCCATCGCCTTAGGCTCCGGCCGGGGGAGGGGGGGGAGGGGATCAAAAGAGGTCTGCTGGAATGCACCAGGCGGCCTGGGGCTTAGCCTGCCTGCTGGGAAAGCCACTTTGCATCCAAAGTCCCGGTTTGTGAAGAAGCTGGATGGGGCTGACACTGAGT